AGTTGTTGGGCAGAAATAACTAAACTTTTAGATAATGGGGGTAGTACAAAGTAACTTTTCAAAATCAACAAATATAAGCAATGTTACATTATGGTGTAAGAAGTAGGCACTTCTACAGTTGTTTTCAGAAGTTACATTTGAGAGTGAGGCTTTTGACGGGAAGTTTTAAAGTGTTATTCCATTATTTTATCAATATAAATAATTATTTTTTCCTTTAAAAAAAAACAACAGAAAGTGATAGAAAAAGAATGAGTAGTGCAATAGGTTAACTTTCTCTCTGCTGCAAAAAAGTAAAGAGAAATGTGTGATTTTTAAGCCCTGTGATGAGCAACAGAATGAATTACTTTTGAAAAGTAACTTCCTGAGTTCTCGGCTTGCTCATAGGTAAACACTTCAACCCCTTTCCCTGTCAAGTTGAAGCCAGAAGAAAAAATGGAGCGCCCGGCATTGATCTCTGTCAAGGGGATTCCCATGATAAAGTACTTTGCCAAAGTCATGGAAGAGGTGGACAAGTTTCAAGCACATCCAGATGACTTGCTGATCTCCACATACCCCAAATCGGGTGAGTGATGCCTTAGGCTGTGTTTGCATGAAGAAAGGGAAGATGTTTTAGGCTCCTGTGTTCTTTATTTCCCCTCAACAGCCCAGGAATTCCAAGAGGATTACAAAAATAAACAGGATGACCAGACATCCTCCTTTTCCAGGACACATTCTCCATTTCAACCTTCTCTCCAGGAGGAATTCCAAAATGTTCTCCATTCTGAGCATGACAAAGAAGCATGAATTTATATTTATATTAGTGTTTTTAGCTTTTATTTTCTACATTTTTCCTGAATGTCCTACACAGTGCCTTGTCTTCTTTTGCAGTTAAGACATCTGTTCATCTTGAAAGATAGACCTTACCTTGGGAGCAGAATGATACCACCGTAGACTTGTTAGCTGTGACATCCTGGGGCAGGGGTAGGCAACCTTTTTGAGCTGGGGGCTGGGTTGCTGTCCCTCAGACAATTGGGGGGGGGGCCGAAGCACCAAAAATAAATAAATAAATAAATAAATAAATAAATAAATAAAATTTAAAAATATTTTTTTAAATTAAAAAATATGCATGCACACTCTCTCAGCCCCAGAAAAGCCATGGCAAAACCCCTGTGGAGATTTTGCCAAGAAAACCCCAAGAACAAGTAATAACAACAATAATCAATATCATCATGGTGGGCGGTGGCGGTGGCGGTGGCAGCAGGACCGGCCAGGGGCCGGTCCAAAGGCCTCAGGGGGCCGTATATGGCCCCGGGCCTTAGATTGCCTACCCCTGTCCTGGGGCAAGGATCCTCTTGCTGCAATTTGCCAGCATAACTATGCTGGTGTAGGAGGCAGTGGCAGGGAGGAAAAGACAGTGAGCACAGTAGTTGTAAAGGAGGTGAGACCTTGGGGAAGTAGGCTGCTCAGACCTAAAAGACTTTGGGCAGCATCTGTATATATTGTTGTTGTTGTTCTTGCAGAAGTTGGTATATTCTGCCTTCCTCCAAAATGTCTAATGACCTCCATGTACACCCTGTTGCCATGCAATAGTCCCCTGCCCCCACTGCCGTTCTGTTGTTCATGGGGAGTGGAAAACTCTCTGGCTGTGTTTCCGTTGGTAGACAAAAACTGATATCATCTGAACTCCAGTGGATCTCAGCAGCAGAGAATGTCCTTGGTTTGCATCTGTCTCTGGAGACATAGCCAGATGCTTCTCTGATCACTACCTCTCCATCAGCCAAAGAATGGCCATGGGACAGCAGCTTATTGTAGTATCACTGTGAATCCTGTGGCAGATGCCAAGGAAGCCATAGCAGAGTTTGGCATGTGGATCCCTTACAAGGTTCGCTATGTAGGATCTTAGCCTTCATGGGGCTTTTCTGCCATCACTGCACAACCCTGGGGGGGAAAGTAATCACTGTCATAGAGGGCTATGAGGATTCTGGTCTTGGGTAGTATTTGTTATGCTCTAATACTGGGTGAACCTAGGCAAGTCACACTCTCTCAGCCTCAGAGGATGGCATTGACAAACTCTATCTGAAAAAATTGTGATAGGCTCACCTTAGGGCTGCCATAAGTTGGAAATGACTCGAAGGCACACAAAAACAGTAAATCCTGGTATGAAGCATTGTGCCACAGTTACACCTTGTATGAAGGAAGGCACTTTTATTCCTTTCATTAGCTCCATAATAACCTGGCTTCTCAATCCTGACATTTAGGAAGAAATTCTTCAGAAGCATACAAGTTGGGCTCTTGTATAACAACATAAAAGACAGCAAAACTATATTTCTCTGGAATTGGTTTTATTTAACACTCTTTTTATTTAATATGGTTTCACTTAAGTGTCCTGTTCTCTTGGGAAAACTACCATCTTGAAAGAATGAAAGCAGTCCTTAAAATAAATAAGCAAATAAATAAATAAATAAATAATATATACATGTGCGTGTGTGTGTGCATGTGTGTATAGTAAATCAGTGTTTAGTAAATCTTAATAGTTTTTATTAAATAAACAAATAAGTCTTACAGCCCCATCTTGGGAAGATTAGCATATTGAAAGAAGCCAGGAAACCCATTTTTAAAATTAATAAATAAGTACTGTTAAGGCTTTGAAATTTATTATGGCACAAATGTTTAGACTCTGAATAGTTGATTATTTTGATCAGAACATTTCTATTGGTTTTAGCACAAGCAGACACAGGCACCCACTGGTATTCATCTCTCTAAATATTTAAAACATCTTTTTAAGAAAACAAAACAAATGAATTCATTTCTGTGGCTAAATTTCTGTGGCCAGAGAGTCATCAAGATGGAAAAATTTATAAAGGAGGAAGAACACACAAGCCAGGAGAAGCTGCAGCAGTTTGCTGCTGCCTGAGCCTACAGGGAAGGGAAAGATTCTGCCCCTTTGTGTCCTCTCCCCTCTGCTGGTTAATTTAATATAAACTATTTTTGCACTTTGAATTCCTTTTGCAGCTGTTGGAGTAGGCTGACAACAAAGTAAGGAAGTTGAAAGAGAAGAAACTTTAACATCATAAAAGCAGCTGGAAAAGTAGAACAACAGAATATTAATCCAGATTGTCCCTGCCAAATTGGGACAGTTGTAGTGCATGATTTATCCAAGATATGAGTCAAATGACCA